CCTTGTATGGTAGGGATTAAAATCGGATTAAAATTGAAAATATAGCCGTTATTGTTGACTTTTATTAGACGAGTGGGACCCAATAACGGCCATATTTTTAATTTTAATTAGCTTTTAATCCCTCCCGAACAGGGCAATAATTAATAAAATCTCGAGTCTCTAATTTCAATAGTCAGTCAAAGCTTAATTTCTTGCTTAATTATTAATCAGTTTAAGTAAATGGAATTTACTTGATATAAAAATATGAAAGTTTCCAAAGAGATGTCTAAGTTTACAGAGACAGATCCCGAATTGGACCATGAGCCGAATTAATACGTAAAAAAAAAAAAGAATTTACACATAAAAAACTCCTTAAATCCATCCCTGTAAGTTTAATTACTTAAAAATGGCAAGTCATGGAACTATAAGCATACAATTAAGCGAATATATCCTATATTTTATTGCATTTTAATAGAATTATATACACATCATAATTAATTCTTCTAAGCATGTTGATCGTGTAGGACGTCAAAGGTACATTCTATTGCAAAACATAATTAGCAACGAGAACAATAAATTTGTTTATTAATATTAAATATGACATTATGGTAACCATTTTAAATATGCAAAACACTCACGTAAATGGAATTAATATATGATGAGTGTATTTTACTCATTGTTTTAATACCACTTTAGCGTGTTATTTAGCCATTTTTGAAAGTTTTTTAGAACGAATTTATGTGTATTTTGATATTGTCATATATGTTGATTGAAGTAGTATAGTACAGGACTATTCGAGTGACGTGAGTAATAAGGGTTAGAGCCATCATCAATGGTGGAATAACTCGTTGATGTGGAGTTATTTAATTGATTTTGATCAACAGTTTCATTTGCCATCGTGTTTATTCAAATTTTTGAAACAAGAAATAGGAAGAAGAAGAAGAAGTCGATGAAGAACAACAGAGATGAAAAGTCTATCAATGCTCTGATACCATAGTGAGAGAAAATGGAATGAATTCAGAATCAATATTATTTCCCAAAACCAAATGACTTTACACTGTAGTATAAATAGATAACAAACTAACTAACTGATTACAAGAACCACTACAAACTCGACACGTAGATTAACTACCACAACTGTCCTAATAGCAACTGCATTTCACTAACTTCTAGTTGTGCTTCGTAACTAATTTGAGTTGCCTCCTAGTTGCTTCCAGCTTGCTGTAATTCCACACATTCTATTAATATCTGGCATTGTGACACGTTATTCAATTGTCAAACCGTTGATGAAAGTAGATGTATACACGTGAAGAGTGTGGATTTGAAATCTACCAGGTAGTGTTTTGCTCAACTGCGATTCTTGATATCCTCGACTCCATGTAATTAGTTATAATTTAAATTTTGTGATAAATAGGAGGTCAGTTCTCGAGTATTTATGCCTCTATTGAGTGCCCATCCAACCGCTGCAAAACAAATCTAGCAAAAGGGAAGCTCATCTCCTAACTCTAAGCATCTAAGGGGTTGTTCTCTTCGTGTTTCTGTTTTTAGTTTTGAATTCATTTTGGATTTTGTGTTTTGAGTGTCTATTTTGAGATTACTGAAAACGCGTTCTTTTTGTCATTTTGAAAAATTGTTTTAAAAAAAAAAAAATGAAGTTTTTGCTTTGTTTTAACTGAAAATAGCCAAAAAAAACTTTTTTGGCATTCTTCGTTTTCTTCGTAAATTCTAAACTCGTTTTTGGAAATTCGTTTCTGAAAACAGGTAAGTAAACGTGTTTTCAGTATTTTCGAAAACTGAAAATTGAAAATGGTCTAAAAATAGTAAAGAGAACATACCCTAACTTTTTGAAATTTCAGGAGGTTTCATCTTAAATTCTTTATAATGATTTAAAACGAAATACCGTTTATGCATAGGAGTTCTTTTTACGTGAATTTAACATTGATTTCAGGCCAAAATTCAAGAGCTAGCCGAACATGTTCCAAAAGGTCACATTCCTCGATCAATGACTATTCATTTTAGAGTAGAACTCACGAAGAAGGTTGGGGATATTTGACTTTTCTAATTTCTTTCTAAAGGAACCATCTGATAATTTGTATGTATAGCTACAAAATTCTTGTTCCTAGCATTTGTGGACTGAGTGGATGCTTTATTATGCAGTATATTCTTTTTATAGTATTAGTTTATTGAAATACATAATTCCAATTGTCATTTTCTGAGTAACTTTACTATATCAAAGCAAATTTCAAAAAGAGGAACGGGTACTCATTGCTGTTATTGTAAATGTCAATGTCTTCTATGTTGTTGAATTATCAAGTATATTTCTTCCAATATTGTTTACTGGATTTAGAGCAATGCAAGCTCGCATAATTGCTGATACATATTTAGAAGCCATGTCTATCACCCATTTCAAGAAAAAAAAAGTAGAGTAAGCCATTTTTACCATTTTTAGCATTGATGCTTTCTTTTACTTGAAGGCATGACATTTTTTGAAACGACATCAGCCTTAAGGCAACATTTCATTTTGAAGGCACCAAATCATTGCGCTTTTTTCTTTTAAGGCTGTTGTGGGGCTGTTTTAATTCTCACCACCATCATAGAACCTAAATGAGGTTTTGTTCAAGTTTTTGGAGAGATATATGGAAAGGACAAAGGAGATTAAGTATACATGACAAAGAATGACCATGAATCCTTTTCATGGCATTGTCTTCTTCAGTTGTAGAATGTGAATGGTAAGAAACCATGTAATGTTTGCGCAGAGTATTTTAGATAGAATCTGATACTTCTTGTTAGTTTGTTTGGAGAAATATCCTCATATCTATTTCTATTTCAGAGGGACATACTATTCAGTTATCATCTTGTGGAAGTATTTGAACTAGAACAAAGTGCTTAGTGGTGAACATAATGGTATTTTTTTGAGCGCAGATCTGAACTGAGAGGAGATGAGGAAGAACAAATTGCACGCTTAGCTGAGGATGGTGATATTTACAATAAATTGGCACAATCATTAGCCCCAGAAATTTATGGGCACGAAGATATTAAGAAAGCCCTTCTTCTTCTCTTAATTGGTGCCCCTCATCAAAATTTGAAGGATGGAATGAAGGTAACTACATAAGGCAACTTTTGTACCTACTTTTCGTTACTTGGGAAATGAGAAATTTGTTAGGTTTGGTGACTTAAATTTTGTAGAATATTTTGAGAATATTTTTCCCCTTCTTTGCACATTGTTTTATTGGGAAAAATATTGGGAAATATTATTTCCTTATTTTCACGTGATATTGTTTC